TGTTTCATCGCTGTTTGCTTGAACGCCAGGGTCACGGCACCGGCTAAAAACACATACACATGTAGCTACTGCTGCTGTTTTTTTTTCAATTGCCTTCTTCAAGTTACGTTTTGTGTTGAAAAAGTTTTTAATTTTTTATTAATAGGTCAATAAACGAATCTCTAAAAATACCAAACCCATTTCATATACATAAATAACACCTATGTATTGTTAAATTCGGTCTCAATATTTTGCCTTTTCTTCAGTTTTTTACCTTACTTAATGCTAAATTACGCTACGCACCTAACCGATCCCACCAAAAATGCGATAACTAAAAGCTATCTCAGTTGGCGGAGAGGTCATGTGAAATTCCACAACACATCAGTCGCTCAGACATCGTCGCCTATTGCCCTATTATATTAACTACTCGGCCAGAACTGAAATGAACTTGTCTCGGCATAACTGTACATGCGCGTTAACAGTGAAATATCATAACTGGGAGTAAAATACTTTTGCCAGACATGCTTTTCTGAGGCCAAAAAAGGGCCTTGTTGGTTACCCCATTCATCTTATTGCATTGATTTGCGACGCACATATGTACATTCATAGTAATTTCACTTTTAGGAAAACATTCAGCAGACGAAGTTGATGACTCTATTTAGACGCAAGAGCAACTGCCGACCGATGCGAAATTCGCCATAGCAATACCACATCAGACTGTTTTGCCTGCCACCATAACTCAGCCTTGATCATTTCATTGATTGTCCTTGAATTCGAACGTTCGCACGCACTTTCTTGTGTCCTAGCTTTCAACGGCTGTCCTTTACAGCAAGCTTTCTGCCTGTGGCAGGGGTCTTATGAATGACTAGCTTGTCTGGATGCCTACAGAATTGACTAACAAAAAGTGTATGCCAAACCTGAGTACGAAAACAGCAACAAGCAACCAAACAGAATATGTAGAAAGATTGACGATAGAAACAACAAAATCTGAACAAATTATCCGTTTCAACGTCTGCCGCAGTTTACTTTATGCACATACATACACGCGTACGTAAATATAAGTATATATACATAAATACCCAGCGGGATAAGGTAATGTCTGGGAATGCAAAAAGTAGTGGATCGCCCCCTATAGCCTTGGTACGAAAAGATGCAAGAATTTCTTCACAGCGATGTCATACGAAAGTAATGTGTGAATCTATATATAGAATTCAAAAATAAATAAAGTCCATGCCACAGGTTTTGAACCCGTGACCAACAACACGGCAGTCGAGCACGCACGCATTCGGCTACGACAGCTGTTGAGATAACGTGAAACAAAAATATTTGACTTAGTTTTCAAACTTTTTGTTTTGTTTGCGGCTTCAAAACTACACATCATCCGCTCGCTTACATTGCGATACATCTTTTTGTTCAACCGTAGTTGTTAATCTTTTCTTGATAGAAAAAGATAATGCATTCCCATTTTCCCACTGGGGTGTTTTCTTTGACGCCGGTGCTCTTGACTACATATCAAAGGAAAGTTTATATTGCACCTTTTTTCGTTCGTTTTGTGCCTCCTACATAGGGTGTAGCCTACATTTGGGCGTTCGAGACCGTGCGTGAATGCCTTTTTATGACTAACAAAAGTACGTATCGAGTTAACAGCTGACTAGTTAAATGTTTAAGTACATGCATACACGTCTGCACGTTTGCGTATGCATACAAGTATACCGATGTTTATCCGTATCTGGAAATTTCTTTCGCGTACTTCCACATACTATGTAACGTCTCATTTTCCCCTCAATTCCCACACCACCTTTAGTTTTTTACTTTTTCTATGCCTACACTGTGTTGTGCTGCATTGCATGATTGTTGTGGATAGAAAGCGTTGGCGGGGAATTCCACATTAAGAATTACTTCCATTTCACCAAGTACGCACACGCAATTTGTAAATTGATAGTGGGTGGCAGCGCCCACTGCGTGCATAGATGTGTGGGCGGTTCTGAGAACAGAATTTAGTTCATACGATAATAAACATACACCTGTACATGTTGGCCCGCCACTCAAAAACAATGTCAATGCCAATGTAAACACGAATACGTTACCACTACCAGCGACAATAACAGTTATCTAGATATTTTTTCTCGTAGACTTGTCATAGCTAAGCCCGCGTCAAGAATAGAAACATACGTCTGCGATTCCCAGTATCCTAGAATTTAATACCAACTTAATATATATGTGTATCATCAAAGTACTTTTATGCAATCTCCAGTTCCTGTAACGTTTTAAAAGCCTATGCAGTGATTTTCGTTTTTATTAGCGACTATGACTGGATTTTACTGTATGCCTGCGAACGAGTTGCACTATGTGGCATAGGACGCCTGTCTGACATCGTTGACGTCAACAGTTTTTCGCAGCAATATGTTAGCTACAAATACTTGCATACTTTTTATTCCGGTTATGTTCTGCAAAGCAGTTTTACCTAAAAACAAATTAATTCTACAATATTTTTTAATTCACATTTTTTGCATCCATGTCATTGACCAGTGGCCAAGTGTTTTTGTTTTTAACACTTATTAAATATATTAATTGACTGCGATCCATTAAATGTTTATTTTTATTATTTATTTTTTTTAATTAATTACCCGCCATACAAATTCATTGACTTAAGAACGTGGCAGACGTGGCAATGGGCCGTATGAATATAAACTAAGCAATTGCTTTTTCTTAAAATTTCATACCTTTTACTTCAATTTTGTTTGAATAAATTGAGTAAAAGATCTGAAATTTTAAGAAAAAGCAATTGCTTATTTTTATTCATACGGCCCAATATTTCCAACTTTTCCAAGCAATTGGCTGTCAAATTGAGAAATAGGAATTTTATTTCGATGTGTGAACTGCCAGAAAGACCTTACTGCCACATTTCGGAAATCAGTTTCAGAAATAAATGTTGCAAGATGTGACTGTAATTGAGAGAGCGCAAATCGATTTCGGAAATATATTTCAACTTGCTCGCGCTGCACTAGCAATCTGCAATTCGCCTTTCGGAAATAAAAAACCTCTTTCGAAAGACACTTTACATGCAAGGTGTGACTGCTCATGCATCTGCTTCCTGAAATTTCTCAATTTGACAGCCTTTTCGAAATATATTGCATTGCCATGTCTGACAGGCTCTTTACCGTTGCCGCTTTCGTCCCACTTTCGGGTGCCGCTGCTAATTTTTATATCTTATATTTAACATATATTCAAGTGCTTTGTCTTCCAAAGTAATTAAGCTAATTAGTATTCGTGTGTTTTTAGTTAAACAACAGCAGTATTGGTGAATTTGATGAGCAAACCGCGAAAGTTAAAGCTCCTTTAGAACGAAATATTTATGTACCTTGCTTTTTGAGTTTTACAGTTATTTTTGTTTTTCTCACATTGCACTTGCGGATGACGGTCAATTCTAAATACAAACGTACATTGGAAGTAAGTATACGTGCGGTTGATTATTGTTGTGAAAATTCAAATCGAATCCGGGTAGGGCAATAAATTGGTAGTTCTAAAATGGGCAGGCAAGCTTCATGTTTAAAACGATAGTGAAATTATTTAAGACAAAATATTGAGCCTGATGGCCTTATATCAGTTCAGCTGTTTTCTATTAACTAGAAGTAAATAGTTAGGATTGTATTTAGAAGGAACTCTGGGTGCTGTTGGCTGCTTTCTGAATATAGCCGGTTATGATATTTGTTAAAATGTTATAATAAGTCGATACATATCAAACCTACCTAAATCCACACTATGGCAATTTTGGGAAATTGTGGTTATTTCTTTCCTTGCTGTATATTCCAAGAAGCTGTTTCAAAACTGAAAAATTTTTACAAAATAGATCTTTGAAGTATTTTTCGAAGAAAAAAACAATCGAAAGGTAAGCCATATTTAAAAGAAAGCAGTCATTACGTTGTACTTAAGCATAATTTAAACATACGAAATGGACTAAGTTAGTTTTAAACACGAATTTCCCAAATTGTCTTCTGGTAGACTTAAAGCTGTAACAGACGGCAAAGCTTATGCATATAATCTGGCACACATATGCGCTTAATAAGTTTACCCTTACAGACGGCAGTAATGCGGATAAAGGAGCTGTAAGGTCAAGGTCGTGGGTTCGAGTCCCACGGCCAGTAGAATTTTCATTTATTTCGTTTCCATTCTTTTTTCATGAGTTCTATATATTTTTTACGTTGCTTTCAGTTAATATTTGTTGACGTTTTGATAAAATTCAACTGCAAAAATTTAAATTAACAAATAGCCAAATAAAATAAAGTAAAATTAAATATATAAATCAAATAAAATGAAAAAAATATAAAATAAATAATAAAAATAACAAATTTTTTCCAATCGCTCCATCCGAGGATTGAACCCGGCAGCTACGGCTACCGCGACGCGAAACTCACCTGTTTTGTTTGCTTACTTGTACAAAGGACAACAGCTGGCCGTTTTTACCAGTGTTGTCATCGAAAACTCCCCGGATGCAAGTTAATTCCCAAACATTTCGGGCATTTGTTCGGCTGCTTATGCGCATTTTAAAGAGGAAAATGCGTAGGTCAAATAAATAATCGAGCCCGTTTTTCAACCGTATTAGACAGGTTTGATATGAGTCGACTCATATGTATGTCACAATATGCAGTAGCAGATACGATTTGCTGGAATAGGCATAAGCAATTTTGATTTTGTTCTAGTAAACTACTGGTAATCGGTATAGCTATGAAATACACAACATAAAAGAACAGGTAGCGGTAATTTCTGCATGCTTAACTCGATTTTGTACAATTTTAGATTATGACACTGTTGCTACAAATTTACGCTATGTATATGTGTACATATATATATAGTGTGGAAAAAATCTCTCATTATTTCGCTCTTCTTAAAAATATTTTTATAAACTCACTTCATAACTGTCTCTCTTTCTTCTTTATTTTTAGGTAAGTCCCTTTGAAGTCAATACACCAGTTCAGCAAATAGGATCTCAATTTAGTGTAAGTTCGAACAATCCAAACTCTAATCTTCTAAATAACGAGATAATTTTGACTTATGTACATATGTGCATACTTATAGCGCTATTACACGATATGTATTTTGCATATGTAAATGCCAATTTTGTGGTGCGTTCTAATTAATGGTACATACGAGTAGATTACGAAGGTTTAAATGCACTGAGAAATATGTTTATGTAATCTTATGTTATAACTCATTTACATTAAACGAAAATAACTTAAAAGAAATTATTTATGTTTTTTATGTTTGGTTTGGCCGGTAACATATCGAAAAGTCGGTATAATGTAAATATATTTCATTCCACTGCCATTCAATGTAATCCACTCTGTTTCAGTCCAATTTGATTATACATGTTTTCTTTACTTGTCCATTCAAAGTCACCGATCTGTTCGCACAAACCTCGTTGAAGTATGGAGTGAAATTACTCAACATTAGTGACTTCCTATTCCATTTCGGCTGGGCAGTAGATCACGTTGAGTATTTGCAATAGCATGTAATTTTGGTGAATTTGGTAAAATTATGCGAAACGCGCGTCACTTGGCTCGTACATACGTAGTATTTAGAAATATCTTAAATATAATTTCACACGCTCCATGACGAAATGTACCCGCAAGCCAACTCCAACTCTATGCCCACAGCTGCGATATTGTGCACGAATGCCTCATAGTTAGCTGCGATCTCAACTTTACTTCTTTGCCTCGCTTAGCTACGTATGTACGTAATGATACAATTTTTATTGCAGTCCGAGCATAGCCGAGCAAAGTGAAGTAACTTTATGCACTGAACTTACATATGTTTATGGATTTTGATTTTTAGGATATTAATAATTATTACGGCGGGCGCTGTGGTGTAGTGGTTAGAAGTGCGCACTACCATTCCGCAGGACCTAGGAGGAAAACCTTTTTCTAATAGTGGTCGTCCCTCCATATGCAATGGCAAACCACCGATTGTATTTCTGCCGTGAAAAACAGCTTCTCAAAAAAATATAATCGCCGTTCGGAGTCGGCGTAAAACCGTAGAAACGGAAAAAATAGCAGATTTTGGGGCAACTTTTTATATTTGTATTAGAGCATATCCTTTTACAAAAAATAAAAATTAATCAAGCTACTTACGACGAAAATCGAAGTATGTATAAATAAAAAAGTTGTGAATGGTCAAATGAAAATCATAGTTTTTTTTTGAAATATCAGGAGGAAAGAATGTTACTCATACGCCACGTACGAGTATGCTATTTTCAAATCTCTCCCTTGTAAAGTTTTAATTCTTTTTCATTCGCAGTGCAAACTTAAAATTAACATATCTTGGGGAAATGACCTGATCTAGTAAAACGGCATATAGATCCGAAATCTAAGACCTAAAATTAAATTTACGTGTCTCGTTGATTTTTTGTGTCGTTCTAGGCGTTCTTACAGTGTTGTTATTAAATATTATTACAAAAGTGAAATAAATTTGGAAAAACGCGGAGATTTTTGTTGTGACAAAATTGCAACCAGAGAATTTAGCCTGTTTAACCGGAATCTTCTATATGTGTTTGATCCAAATCGAAGACCTAACCACTTTCTATAAAGGTTAATTAATGTTCGTTTCGATCAATATTTAATACCAAAATTTTCTCCATTTCATTTCTTTTTGTTAAATTTGCTAATACCATGTTTGTTTGCCATTATACCATTTTTTTGACAGATACGGATAGCGTATGACATAAATTATTTACATATATTTTTTCTGATTGTTACTGAATAAAAATAACACTTCAACATATGTATATGGTAAAATCTTTTGAGATGATGATTTTTCAATTTAAAAAAATGTAATTTTCAAAATCGTGGCACAATTTTTTTTGCCATAAATTGTCACCTTTCAACCTAATTGAGGTATACTTTAACCCGCGTAACTAATATTTTTTAATAGCTACTTTATTTAAACCACATGTTTAAAATTGTTTCCTATTAGCCGGGTCAAGTAGATTATCAAGGTTGCAATAATTCGCATAAAGCTGAAAATTAGTGCGAATGTTACGAAAACGAAATGTGAACGAAACGAAAATGTGAAAAATGCTAATCGAACCCAGATCTATATGTTTTACCATTTTTCACAAAGCGGTAAGGTTTATCTTAAAAACAGGTAAGACAAATCTTAAAAAAACTACCATTTCTGCGATACAACGATTCAAAAAATTGTATTCCCCATAGTATGAACAATTTCCACTCTACTTGTAGGGTAGTGTATTTAGCGGGTTTTTCAACGTGGTTTCCCGGTAGGCCTACTGCACGACTTATTGTGGTCCTGACGAAGTAAATAATATTGTATGAAATAAAAATATTAAGGTGGGAAGTGATGATTAAAGTTATTTCGCGCAGGAGCTACTTTTTTTACTAACGCTCTTCAAATTATTTTTAGAGGTGAGCAAATTTTTACACATACCCAAATACACAATCACAAAAATTACACAATGGCATATGAATGACCAAATCTCACGAGTTGCCACCTTTTACGACAAAAACGTGGTATTACGCCTATCTTAGAAAATGCATTATCTTCAGTTTTGAAAAAAGAACAAGATTTCAACGCGAAGTTTTATTTAAATGAAAATTTAAAAAATATATACTAAAAAAGTAAAAGACAACCTTCTTATTTGGCGCGAAACCGTCTAAGCGATTTTGGCCAAGTTCAACAAAGCACGCCAGTCGTTTCTTTTCTGTGCCAACTGACGCCAATTGGAAATGCCAAGTGAAGCGAAGTCCTTCTCCACCTGGTCTTTCCATCACAGTGGGGACTTTCCTCTTCCTCTGCTGCCACCAGCGGGTTCCGAGTTGAATACTTTCAAAGCTGGAGCGTCGGTGTCCATTCGAACGACATGACCAAGCCAGCGGAGCCGCTGTATTTTAATTCGCTGCACTATGTCCATGTCGTTGTGAAGCTCTTACAGCTGATCATTCCATCGTCTGCGGTACTCGAAAAAAAAACAACCACTCGTGCTCACATACCCGTTGTTGAGTATGTAACGTATACGCCCCGTAGCACCATACGCAGTCATCTAACACGTTTACTCGCACGCCTTAATTTAAAATTCATATTATTAAAAAGTAATTAAATATCGGCGTGGGAGATTTGTACACAGTATTCCATATGCACATATATATATATTACTTTCTTCATGTATACAACAATTTTAGAATGAATTTCGAGTTTGCCGATAAAAATTGGCATTTTAGTTTCTCATATCATAGTCATCTCTTACTCAATGTAATAAGCTTTCATTTGGTAACACACTAGTTTTATTACACTCGATTAGTTCGTTTTTGCAAGAAGAATATTTTAACCGTTTAATTTTAACATTTTGTACTATCTAAAATTATTACAATTGAAAATCGTAAAATTTGAAAATCTGCAAAACTGCGACAAGTATTCTGCGTGCTGTCATATTTTTTAATTTCATGGTAAACTCTTGAAACTTCACAGATATGTTGTATTTGATGCCAACGTCCATTGCCTCTAATATGAAGAATCTATTTAAAAACATCCCAAAGTTATTGAAAAAAAACAATTATGATATTTTCAAAAGACTATGAAAAAATTAGTAATTTCGTTACTTTTTCTCCTAAATAAACGTTTTAAGGCTCAAATTTTTCAAATACTTGATTTCATTTTTATTGTAACTATTTCTGGAACTTCATTGATTGAAATAAGTGCAAGAATGCTTTTTCGTTTTTTTTTCTGCCGAGAAGGGAATGGCACTAAAAAACAACTTGTGAGATTTGCTCATATACATTTGTTTACCTTTTATTAAGAAATGTTAAGTGGCACATTTTTCCACAACCAAGGATTCTTCTTCGGAAGAAGTAAAGTAGTATATTTTCCACACACAAATATAAAATAAGTACCGCTCAACCAGTTTCACAAGCAAATCCACGATTTTTATAAAATACGCGAAAATCAGTGAACGCCTTTTTTCTCGCATTTGGTAATTGACACATTTGTTTTATACCTCAGAACATACAAATGATCCTGTAATATGCCAGTACCCAAACTTTCCCCATCTCAAAACACGTATACATAGATAGTTTTTAATTCCCGAACAGTTGATCCGAACCTAAACCACGGTTCGAAGACAAAAAAGTTTTGACTAGCAAGAAGGGTTCGAATCGCTGAACAGAACCGACCAAGTTGTTCTTCCAGTTTGCGTTCTTGATTATAACAATGTAATAAGGATAAGAACCTTAACATAGTTATTGAATTCATTAGGAAGATTTACATACACATGTATGTATATTAGGGTGGTCAAAGTAAAAATTAAAGTGGGTATTTTAATACTCTCTTCCTCCCCGTTTTTATACCCGAGCGCACTTGTGCACAAGGGTATATTAATTTTGTTCACATAACGGTTGTTTGTAACAGCCAAAACGAATCGAGATAGATAGAGACAAATGTATACATAAATGCTCAGAATGAATAGAGAAGCCGATTAAGCCATGTCTGTCTGTCCGTCTGTCCGTCCGTCCGTGTGCACGATAATTCGAGAAAAAATTGAGATATCTCAACGAAATTTGGCATGTAGGTTTCCCTTTACCCAAGGTAGTTTGGTATTGAAAATGGGCGAAATCGGACTGTAACCACGCCCACTTTCCATATAACGGTAATTTCCAGAAATACGAAAACTGCGATATTTTAGTAACTACTGCCGATATTTCACTCAAAATTGACATTTACAATAACTTTCAGACGAAAATAGTAATATTATAAATTTTTGGAAAATGGGCGTAGCCACGCCCACTTATGATTACATGTGTATATATTAGTAACCGCTGCACCAATTTCTTCCAAACTTGGCACACTTTTTAGCCTTGGTACAACGTACCAAATGGCCGAACATTTTTAAAATCGGACTAACCACGACCACATCCCATACAACGGTAATTTAAAGAAATACAAAATCTTCGATAAATCAGTAAATATTAAAGCTAATTTATTCAAAATTGAT